AGAAAACCCCGCAACATTTTAATGCGAGTTTGTTTGTTAATATTTGGGTTGCTGTCATTGGTTCTTTTTTGACAATTGACGCGCGAATGGGGCGTGTTGTGAAAAGGGGCGTTTTACAAAATACCGGGCCTTGCTTGCAGGCCCACTATTCTTCCCTTGGGCCTGCACGCGGGCTAACCTACTAATTGATTTAAATAAATAAAATTAGCAAAACCTACCGCTTTTGTGGGGTTTTCCTGGAGAAAAACTTTCAAAACAAAACAAACAAGAAAATCGAAGACGAAGTGTTTATCTGCGTTTGACGTCACAAAATAGCTTATGCACGCTGACGCTATAATTATAAGAAAGGTCTATTATATTAACACGGGAGCATACACGGGTGAGAAAAACAAGAAGAAAAGTGTTATAAAACATAGCGTTAGATTATTAATAATAACGTAAGAGTATTACAGTTAAAAATTGTAAGATTTCATACCCTCTTGATTTTTCATATTCATCTTCTCCATCCATAGCAACGTTCATTCCAGCATCACTGTCTTCTGAATTATCTTCCATTTGTACATGCTTATCAGACTCTTCCAACTCCATTTCCTGAATGTTTCAAAATATCAGTATCAAATTTTCACGGGAAGTAAGATCTTAAAGACATTGGTTATTTGTGAAAATATGGATGAAGCGCGGTCAGGTAAAGGCATAATATTATCTAATATAATCTAACATTAATTCCACCAAGTGAAGTGCAAGAATCCATAATTGAAATCCACCTTATCACAACCCGCACACCCGATTACCTATATATACATGAACTTACGGTTACAGCTTAACAGCTGCCCTCTGTAGCTCAGTTGGTTAGAGCGCTGCACCGGAATCGCAGGGCGTAGGTTCAATTCCTACCAGAGGACCTTGTGCTGCATTTTTCGCAGTCGTTCCTGGTTAGGTCTTAAAATGTATATATTCTCACTTGGATTACAAACCTAAAATTCTAACAATAATTCCACCAAGTGAAGTGCAAGAATCCATCATTATAATAAAAGGAATCGTTCTCTGACCAAAAATAATTTATTTTGACGAACTTTCGGCCACTAGATTTTGACGAACTTTCGGCCACTAGATTATCAACAGTAAACTGGTTCAGAAGCTACTTAACAGACCGTTTCCAATCAACCCGTATTAACTCTACGTTATCAGATCCATTACCGATAACTTATGGTGTACCTCAAGGGGCCATTTTATCGCCATTGCTCTTTTGTATATACCTTAACGATCTACCCTGTGCATCTTACAATGGTGATCTTGAATCATACGTTGATGATACGAAAACTTTGTTATCGTTTCCTTTAACGGAAGCTGACACTGGAATTAAAAATCTGGAAGAAGACCTACATAAAATTGCGTCTTGGTGCTGCGAAAACAATCTTTTGGTGAATCCAGATAAAACAAAATTCATGATCATTGGAACCAGGCAGCTGATGAACGAACTTGATGTCAATATTTCGATCTCTTTTATGGGGAAGATTCTAGAACCTGTTGATTTTGCCAAAGATCTAGGACTTCTAATGGACAGTCACCTAAGTTACGATAAGCACATATCGAATCTAGTGTCGTCCTGCCTTTATAAACTGTGCCAGATAAACAGAGTTAAAAATAATTATGACAAGGGAACACTTACAATGATAATCACTTCATTAGTGATCAGTAAACTGCTCTACTGTTCCACTGTGTGGTCAAATACAACATGCACTAATATAAAGAAACTTCAATCTATTCAAAACCTTGCATGTAAAATAATCACAGGATCCAAGAAATACGATCATGTAAGCCCATTACTCCAAAATCTTGAGTGGCTCACAGTTGACAAATTACTCTATTTCCGTGATGCCGTAATGACTTTTAAATGCATGAACAACTTAGCGCCGAAATATCTTTGTGACATGTTTGAGAAACGATCTTGTATTCACAATCGGTCTACGCGGAACTGCAACTCAATACAGATACCATTGTTTAAAACAGCGGCAGGGCAACGGTCATTTGCTTTTAGAGGAGCTTCAATTTGAAATAACTTAGACACTGAGCTAAAGAAATGTACATCACTTAAGACATTTAAAAGTCAACTTAAAGAACACTTACTGTCTACTTAGACTATAGACTACTTCCTATTTTAGACTATTAAAAACTTAGATATCAGTCATTTTTATTCCTAATTTGTAGAAACTGTAAATATTTTAAAATTGTAGTTTTATAAAATAATTTTGTAAATGGGTTCTGAAAAACCCTTTTGGGAGAAACCATTAATTTTAATAATAATAATAATAATAATAATAATAGTCTTCTACAGGTACATGACTAATGAAATTAGTCGTATTATCTCGTCTTATATTTTCGCAACATAACAAGAGTCTATAATTACGTATCTACATTCGTAGTTTGTTTACATTTGTACAGTTTTTGATATCTCTTTATTTCCTACATGATATCTCTTTATGGCTGCGCGACAACGGGTAGTCTTTTATAGATATCGTCATCACTTCTATACCAAAAATAGGTGAATGAGACAATTTTGAGTTGACAGCTCAAAAATTTCCAAAATATGCTTGAATTATATTGGGCTTAGCATGCAAGAACAATTGTCAAAGCAAGGTGTTCTCCAAAAAGGAGTGGGGTCACGTGATCAATTGTTGCAAAATGCCGTTCAATGTCAAACAACCACGTTAATGACGTTATACATCAAAATAACCCAGATGCAAATCCAACCAACAACGTCCATAAAGTGTGGCTAAGTTTAACCTATCTTGATAAATATGCCTTAAAATATAGTAGCCCACTAACCAGCTCATTTTTTCGTACAATAATTAACCTACTAAGGCTAAAATGCAAGTTCATCATTAACTGAAATACTAACAGCAACTCGGCGTCCCTTTGATGGAGAAATAAAATACCGATAAAATATCCAAACTCTGTATATTAGCGTACCCATTTTACTTGCCCAGAATGTACAAGTAAATTTATCAGGAAAACGGATCACTGCTTCTCAAGTACACCAGAATCGAAAATAAATCTGAAACTTTAACTACATGCATCACATCGTGCAAACATTTTCAACATCTCAAACATTTTTACCATAACAAGACGCTCTATGGAGCGTTAACTCGCTGGGGCCATTCAACTGACGTACATTACTGTTAAGATCTAAAGGCTGATTTCCACTGTTGCGTTTTTCGTACGCACGTACACGCACGTAAAACTTTGAATCGTTCTATTTTTAAATATTTTACAAATAAGTTAAGCCTGGTTCACATATATGCCTGCGACGTACCGGCGACGATACCGGTGCTAGCTTTAAAACGTAAATTATGTGAACATTTGTTCGCCGATTGCCGCCAGTGCCTCAGTTACATCGGCGGTAGGCCGGGAAAGTTGACTTGAGTTCAACTTTGTCGGTATTTCGGCGGCAAGTATAGAGGCATAATGATACAGTCGCAGGCATACCGCAGGCATATGTGAACCAGGCTTTAACAAATTCATACTAAAACTTGCGGAGCAGTAAATTCTGTTGCTTTATTTATTTGGTTATTTTATAAGTAACATTTAAACAGATTTAAAGTTTTACGTACGTATATTAAAGTGGAAGTCAAGTCCGTAATGTAAACAAACGGTTTGTTTACATTTTGAACTGCTGTATTTTTGCTGACGCAGCGAGCGAGCCTGAAGCGAGCGAGCAAGTCAGCAGTTCTAGTTCGTATTGGGCTCTGGCTCATGGTCTTACACCGTGATATACAGGGTGTCTCAAAAAAAAACAAAATCATTGAAATTGACGTATTGTTCGATATTCAATGCCCTAGCACTAAGTTAATCCCACGAGTGCATAAAAGATTGACATAACTGCTATAATGAATGGTAATACCCAGCGTAAACTTGTTATGTCAGGCATAAAGTACTAAACCCACGAATTTACGAAGCATTTTTAAATTCCCATGAGCAAACAAACGTTCACTTTACAAAGATATTTTAATTTTTTAAAACAAATTAATCACCCTGTCAAAATCCTTTGTGTTGCGGCATTGAAATTCGAACAATACGTTATTTCAATGATTTTGGGTTTTTTTGAGACACCCTGTATACTGAATTTGTTTATTACAAACAATTTATAACGCTAATTCGAAAGCGAATTTATGCGTTTGTGCTCTTCGCCTTATTTTCTTTTGTCTTTTCTTATTTCATGTAGCACTTAGCAGTAAAATCAACATTGTATTTGCACGTCTGAAAGCGTTTATTTCAAGCATTAAAAGCGAATCAATTATTGTCCATCAGTTTCACTTTGCTATAATTTAAACAGGGTTTAGGTTGTTGACCTTTTGTTTGAATATGATTTGACAATAAAGTAATTGACACGGAGACATGGCATGAACAGTCCGGCAACTGCCAACTATGTTTATAGCATGGCGTTTTAAAAGAACGATGCTTTGCGTGCTATTTCATGGGTTGACTAAATGTACTTTGGCTGCCAAAAAGCACACTACACTATACTCAATGCATACACAACATAGTTTAATTTATGCATGGGCATTTTTTAAGCATGCAACCCAGCCAGGAGCAAGTCAGTAGGATCGTGCATGGGATTGAAGTATGTGCATTGAATACTTTTTATAATTGATCATGCTTTTGTTATTGCATGTGTCGAAACATTAAAAACAATGTCCTCAACTCTACAGGGTGCATCAAAAAACCTGGAAACCTTTGAAGTACAGGGTGTCCCCCCAAAAAATTCCCTCTATACTATAGAAATTATCATATTGTTATAATTTGAATGTCTGAGCATTATGCTGAACAGAAGAGCGCGTAAACACAATTGAATTGAATTTTTAATTACCACTAGGAGTATGAAAAATCCTGGGCTTAACAACAATAAGATAATTTCTATAGATGGGACACCCTGTACAATGTTTTTGGAATTTGCATGATTCGGAACTAATTGATCCCAAGCATGCGTAAACACAATACTTGAGTTGACCATTCGCAGTCGAACTGATAGTTTTTTGCGTTACAAATAAATAACTTTTTGTTATTCTAATTTCTATCAACGCGGTTAGTTATTTAGAATGTATTTTCAAATCCCAGGAGCAAAATAAGTAGCCGACAAAATTTGATACACCCTGTAGTTTTCGAAGTAACGTCGCTTTGATTTGACGTCTTTGGATGCAGGTTTTGCTCCATGACCATGTTGTTCGATATTCAGTTCTTAAACGATCGACTTCACTTCAGTAAAATCAAAAGAAAGGCAATTTGGGGAAGAAGTATATTCAAGCGAAGTAAAATATCAGCTAAGCACTTTACTTTACTCTTTCTTTAGCCTGGTTCACATATATTCCTGCGGTATACCTGCGCTATCATTGTTCACAGTTTTTCAGAGCAGTTGTTGTCAATAGCCCGCCGACATACCACAGGTGTAAGTAGGTATATGTGAACCGGGATTTTATGTTTACTAGCCATTTAAAAGTCCGTGCTTTATCAGATAAAACATTCGAGCTGCGCTCACGTGTTTTATATCTGATAAAAAGCACTCCTGCTCGCGTTTCAAATAGTACATACCGGACAGTCCGCACTCACTGTACAGTTGTGGTCTTGTGATAATTTGAAGTATATGTGTGGTCTTTAATAGTGATACAGTGTATCGTTGTTGTGTAATTAAAAGCATTGAATAATCTGTGTGCTCTTAAAATAATTATTGGCTGATATTGTGGTCCATAGTGAAAAGGTTCCAAAAATAGGTACAAGTTTCCATACTATTGTCGCTCTGATGTCACAGATATTAGAGTAACGGTAGGATAGAAAGATTAAAAAAAGTTTATGGTTAGATTCTAATGTTTCGCGCACAATAAAGCTAGGGTTAGGGATGGGTTGTGATTACGGTCAAGATCAAAGATATATATTTGTGAATGTGACCGAAACAAGGATTTATTCACATTTACAATAATGACGTCACAACGATTAAGTTAGTGTTGAGCTTAAGCCTGGTTCACATATGTCTGCGATATGCCTGCGACGTTATTGTTTACAGCTATTGATGCATGCATACATTCTTTTGTGAATTATTTGGTTGAACTGCTAAAGACAATAGCCCGCCGACACATCGCAGACATATGTGAACCAGGCTTTAAGGTTCGGTCACACGGAGCGACAAGTCGCAGGGGCATGTTGCAGGGACATGTCGCCCGAAACGAGTCACACGAAGCGACAATGCTAGGCGAAAACAAGTCGCACAAGCGCTTACAGGCGCGTGGTCACACGAGGCGACAATTCATGCGACAAGTCAAAGAACTCCCATGAGGACTTATATTGAAATTGAGCGTGCAAGTAGTCATGGGAATGATATTTTGTGATTGGTCGGACTAATTATTTCCCCGCGACTTGTGAACAGACTAGCTCACACGATGCAACAAGTCGCGGCAACGGTTTTTGTCCCCGCGACACGTCGCATGAAATCAAATCAATTTGATTTCATGCGACATGTCGCGGGGACAATTTTTTGTCCCCGCGACAACGCTTACACATGTGACACACGATGAAATTCGAACCCGCGACATGTCCCTGCAACATGCCCCTGCGACTTGTCGCTCCGTGTGACCGAACCTTTACTGTCAGTTACGATGGGTTAGGAGCTCACGAGATTGTATTTAAACTCATGGGGTACGTTGTTAATTTGGAAAGATGAGGCCGTTTTTTATATATCGTCAAATTAAGGAGCAAGTCAGCATTTATACTACTGATAAGTATACTAGTTTAAAATATGATGTACTGTCTGAATATCTAACAATACAATTTCCGGCTTGATTTTCAAAGGCTATGGTGTTTAGTGATACTGGTGTTTAGTAATACATTTGACATCTGTAAGTACAATTTCTTACGCTGAATCGAACGGTGGTATTTTTATCCTTATTGCGCCATTAATATGCATTACAAATACAATATCATATTTCGCACTGAGTACACTACAGTTTTCACGGACTGTTGTTCGATAAATTTTCTATTGATATGACACCAATATGCTTCTCATAAAGTCGTTATTTATTAAAACTACGTTGTGCAGTTTACGTTATATCTTTTACCTTGAAATTGTCTTTGGCTCGTTTATATTCAGATTCAGTATATTATGATCGTGCACGGGAATTCAACGATCCAAATTTCGGATTTTCAGAGTCGTGCACCAAGAAAAACGCATTAAATAAACTAGTAAGAATGTCCAGAGTTAGACACAATGCAAAATCCATAGAAAACAGGTAGAATTTGTTCAAAATTTTCACGAAATGGGGCCCGAAATTGTTTGAAACATTTTGCCCACTCCACGAAAGGACCCGCCATTTTGAAAAGGATCAAGCAGATCCACTATCCGTGATCCGTGACAAATGCATGCCGAAACCTATACTCGTGCCCCAGCGAGTAATTAATATTTAATAACTGTAAGATTATAGACAGTTCTAGCTGATCATTGGTTCTTATTGCTCTTCGAATAATTAAATCGCAGTCTGAACGTCACAGAACTAAAGTATCAAAAGATCTCATAATATTTAACTATTTTTTTAATGTATAATCTCTTCTATATGTGAATATATCAAAATGCTTTTATCTTCACCTATAAATATCCTGGTTTGTAATGTAACCTAGCAACATTTCTGATGATGACAAAACATAGTTAGATGCTGTATGGCAGCCAGTTTTTTGGAGGTGGACTTTCGGGCAGGAAAATTAGTGAGGGAACGTCTGCCCGTTTTTCATACATTTTTCATTGCCAGTCCACTGGACTGGAAATACATGATTGGCTAATCTGTTAATTGTTGATCTGTTATTTAATAACTTTCTCGAGTTCCGTGGATAATCCATGCAAATAGGTGGGATTGCGGGATTTACAAACCCGTTCTGATAACTCCAGGATTCTTTCGACAATTATGTTTAACTCCGTTTAGAATTCAATCACAAATGTAATCATCGCTGTTTGTCCTGGACGGTGGTTTGAAACCTTGCTCTGATGAAACGTACGGGGTTTTCTCAAAATTCCCAATTTTAAGTTTTAGTGGACAATTACACACTCAGTGTGCAAAAGTCATTGACACTCTCAGATTTCTATTTTCTACCTTTTGGTACAGCTTTTTTGGAGGTTCTGGCTCACTCATTAGAGAGTTTTAGCTTGACGTTTACGGCAAACGTCAAACCGCTAACGAAGTTTTTGATTTTGCAACTCTATTATAACAGCTTTTGCACCAATTTTGAAATATAAACAATCATTAAACTTGTGCTCTTTAGCAATGATTTAAAAGAAAGCAAATTCACCACTAGTCACGTATTCACGAAAGCAGTAAATTAAGACTTGGCGTTTGAAATTTACGTTTGGCGTATAAATTTCATGCTTGAACTGCCATGAGGGCTTGTATAGTCGTTAAAGCATGAAATTTATACGCCAAACGTAAACTTCAAACGCCAAATCTTAATTTACTGCTTTCGCGAATACGTGACTACTAGTTAATTTGCTTTCTTTTAAATCATTGCTAAAGAGCACAAGTTAAATAATTGTTTATATTTCAAAATTAGTGTAAAAGCTGTTATAATAGACTTGTAAAATCAAAAACTTCGTTAGCGGTTTGACGTTTGCCGTAAACGTCAAGCTAAAACTCTCTATTGTAGACAGCATCAGTGTCTTACAGGTCAGCTACAGGCAATTACAGTATGTGCATGTGTACGTAATACGATGGCCTATATAGTAATACGTGTGAACTCGTCATTACCACCTGGTTTTGAATCAACTTATTACAATGGGCGGCAATAAAAATGTATGGAAAACTGGCAGACGGTTTCTCTCGCCCGCCCGTTATCTCTTAATTTTTCCACCTGCAAGTCCTGCCCCAAAAACCAGCTGCTACACAGGTTATAGAAAACATTATTCATAAAATTTAATCTTCAAATTTATAGTATTAGTTCTATTTTAACAGTACGTAAGCCTGTAATGTATCATGCGCTGCACGCGAGTTTTCTAATCAAGCAATATAGCCAACTTAATTGAGGAAAAGTAAAAATTGGTAGTATAGTTTACCTCTAAGTTTTTACCGACTTCTTCCATATCACTTGTTTTAACAATGTCCACTTCGGCCCATGATCTACAGAAATAAAAATGATAGTTAAGGTGGCTCGATACAGTTTTCAAAAAGTCAGGTGTTCAACACTTTGACATGTTCAAACTACGCATTTTTATGATTTATTCAGCAGATATTGTGTTTTTTATATATTTTGATATCTCTACTTTCAAATTTTATTATTTTTAGTAACAGATAGTTCGTTGCTATGACGACATACGCGTACGAAATTCACTCCAAAATGGCCTATCGTCTCGTTTTGTTGGAAAAGAAGCATGGTGACCCCCAATTTTTTTTCTTGCATTATTTTACTTGGACGAAAAGCTAACAATTAGCAAAATATAAAAAAATTCTGTAATGCCATTTTTTTGGAAAATGCAAAAATGTCGTTTTCTTCGATAAAATTTTTTTGGCATTACAGAATTTTTTTCTTTTTTGTAAAATGAAAGTTTTTAGCGGTGCAATACAGCGTGCAAAATTTGAACGTAGGTCACCAGACAAAATAAAGAGATATAGCGCATTGTTTTTCTAAAATGGAAAATTCTAATGACGTCAGCAACCGACATAAAACACTACAGAACACGCGCAATGACGTGTATGGCGCGAGCAACTGCTCACGTTAGGTCATTTTGGAAGTTCTTTTCATTTTGTTTATCAGTTTCCGCGACCTGCGCGTAAAAATGGTCACTCGGTTTTGAGTTCGCGATTCTTGAGCAGGGTTTTTGTGATTACTATATCGAGCCACCTTAAGGCGTTTCCTATTATCCCAAAAGTATACCGAGATGACATCTTTAATTTGACATTTTTATTTTGCGCATACGCTTTTGGGGATTACAAGGTGCTTTAAATTGTAATAATAGGCGGTTGTGGCATCGTATTTCACTTTTAGTTTATCCCTATAGGTAGTGGCCCCGCCAGTATATTATTTAAGGAGGCCCTCTTATTTTCGAGGGCAACTTAATAATTTGTGACAATTCTAGGGAGATCCAGGGACAGGCTGCCCAGGAAAATTGAATATGGGTTTTCTGTGACGTCATTTCCTGCATTGTGGAGGCACATGTAAATGTCCTAAAAAATCACCTTTTGACAGTGTGAATATAAGAGCTAAATTCGCTAATATGATGCAATAATTCGGGTCAGACCCAATGCATTCGTGATTAATCTTAACGAATCTAACACTATCTGCACTTTGAAAAGCATTGGGGCTACCCCCTCCACCATTTTGCTGTGCCACTTCCTGTTGGGTGTAAAAAATGGTGTCTTATTAAATTTCATTAAACCTTTTTCATTTAAAAGAAAGTGCACCATAGGCGTATGAGACAGGGGACAGGGAGGGCAACTGCCCCACCCCCAACTTTTAGAAAACCATGGAAATTCGGGCAAATGCTAGGAAATTCGGGCAGATTTATCAAAACATATGCTAAATTCAGGTTATTTCATTACAATTCTCCATAAAAATTTGGGTAAACATTCAACCGACTTCTGGAGAGCATCAGCCCCGTACGCTTATAAAGTGCCTTATATTGTCATAATTGAATAGACCTTTCCCCTTATGAGTGAAATTTTGATCTAGATATGCCTGGACAAAAATTTTCATCACAGCTTGAAAGAGCATCACAAAATTAGTAATATTCCGAAGTTTCGTTGCGAAATGTTGTAAAATGTCGGGATAATATAGCCTTGCGAAGTTTGCCGTTTTTCAGTCATTTTGTATTACAAATGGGAAATTAATAATCAGTTTGATCATCTGATTATCAATTTCCCGCAGGGTCTTAGCTAGAAGGCCGTGTTGGCCGTGTTATCGCGGCCAACAATGTAAAAACACGGCTAGATGAAATGAACGCGGCTTCAGTATTTATTTTTGGCCGTGCATGTACGTTCATAAAATAAGGTGTTGCTACTTACAACATACATCATTTCTTTGTAAAATCTACTGTAGTGGTTGAAATTGGTAAAAGTGATCCGTGATGTTTTAATGTTTTGATGGATAATGGGAACCGTATGGTTGTTAAAATGGCTTTAAATGTCCCAAAAGTTGCTAAAATAAGTTATTATAATGTCAGTGCGAAATATGAGCGTATGCTCGCCTTGTATTTGGTTAAAAAGCATATAGAACAACCACAGGTATAGTCTATTGTTGACACGCATAACTGGAATCATGTTTTTGGCTATTCAAGGCAATTGACAGGGGCACACCCTGGAAATTTAGAAACACGCCCAAGATATAAAATCCTAGCTAAGACCCTGATTTCCCGTTTGTAATGCAAAATGACTGAAAAACGGCAAACTTCGCAAGGCTATATTATCCGCATTTTACAACATTTCGCAACGAAATTTCGGAATATTACTAATTTTGTGATGCTCTTTCAAGCTGTGATGAAATTTTTGTCCAGACTTGTCTAGATCAAAATTTCAGTCAAAAGAGGAAAGGTCTATTGTTTGATGGTTTCCTTTTCTAGTATATATAGAAACATTTTCGCCCTTAGTGCAAGTACAGTAATATAACAGTGCAAGTACAGTAATATAACAGCACAAGTTAAACCAAGTGCTTTACTGCCGCCATATTTATAGGCAATGTTATTATTCGCCATTATTGCCATTGAATCAATGCTTAATTTCAATTGAAATTAAAACCACAGAGTAAATACATATACAGAGCTGTAACCAGTGGTGGATGCTAACCAATGGCGAAACGACCGCCGAAGGCGCGAGATTTCTATGGGGGTCCGAGATTTCTATGGGGGTCCGGTTTAAAATTTGGGCTCTGAAATGGCATTTCCAGCATTCTGAGAAAACATTCTGGAAAATTTTAGATTCTCAAAACATTTAAAAATTCAGAATATTTAATATTGGCTATTCCACTATTGTCAACTAGTGATACCCAACTGAATTCCTTAACATAAGTTGATTAGAATTAGGATAAACATTTTGCACCCCCCCCCCCCCATGCACCCCTGTTGACCAGAGCCTGGGCAGGCTTTTTTTCAGGGATTATTTAACTCAATCTTGAATTGAATTTTGAAACTCAATCTTCTCACCAAAGTTTCAGTGCAGTAAAAATGAAGTTGTTTGAGTTAAATTTGTGACATGTGGAAATTCAGTTGGAAACCCGCCAATTAAGAAAAAATGGCTGGAATTCATCTCACAACACAAGAAAAACTATGCATTTCGCCATCTTTAACCAGTTTATAGTGTCCCTCAGTGCCCCTGCTTTAACATATTCCGTCTCAACAACATTTATTGAGTACACGTGTCAGCCCCCCCCCCCCGGTAGGGGGGTGCAACCACCCCATCTGTTCAGCTAAACTCAATCTCCTCTGCAAAAACGGACCCAAGAGAAAATCCTGAAAAAAAACCTGCTGGAGTGCAGCACCCCTAAATCCACCACTGGCTGAACTGACCGTTGTAAACACTGCGGAAGCTTACGTTTTCATGTACCCACTTTTTCAGACGACCGGGCTAAAAATGATCAACTGCACGTGCTTGGCAAGTTCCGTGAGCAGTCAGTAAAGCGAGTGAAGCAGAGTCGTCATCCAATCAGATGCATGAATCTAGTAACTTGCCGAGCATGCGCACAAACAAGTGGGTACACTAGTTACAACTCTGTATATGTATCTACTCTGTGTTAAAACGTTGGCCACGCTTTTATAATTTTTGAGTTGCATTCCTTGTATTACCCTATATACAGGTATACTGTACATGGCTAAGGATAGTAAGCTTAAAAAATTACTTAGTTATTCCTTTCAAATTTAATATTTGATAGTTAATAAAGACACTGAGTCAGTGGCTATTTATTCATCAATTCATTATGCACCTATCAATGTTAACCCTGAGGGGGGAGGGTCGGGCAAAGGGGGGGGGGGGATTTGATCAACCAGGTGGTCCCATGGGTCGGGATAACACTGATCTCAGACGATATACTGAAGAAACCTGAGCCAATTTTTGAACAAACTGAAGACTGGGCACTAGTTCATCACTCGCTGTCTCGCGCATTGTTTTTACAAGAAATATGGAGATTTCTGGACAAGAAATAAACACTTATAAGCCATTTTATAATTATATTAATATCGATTTATACTTATATGTTAAAAGTTCACATTATGTATGTACTATTTAAAACACAAGTAGGAGTGTTTTATGAGAAATAAAACGCGAGGCGCAGCCGAGCGTTTTATGTCTTGATAAAACACTCCTACTCATGTTTTAAATACTGTAGTTTAAAATATGACTACAAAAGAATACTAATTAGGGCAAACAATTATATAAGAATACTGATTAGGATGAACAATTATATAATGCCACATGCAGGCATGTGTTTTATTAGCCTGTGTTCCAGTCCACTACACCATGGTGAATACGGCGAGTAGAAATATTTATTTTGAATTTTTCAAGATGTCGGGTTTTACTTGCACTTGCGTACATCGCGCAATAATTGGCCAATAAGAAGCTCCTGTAGCGGGATGACGTCAAACTCACACGTGTAGGTGCAATTTGACCTTGCGAATCCATTTCTGCCATTTGCAGGGTCATACAATACAAGCTTCGCATTGTTTTGATGGTTTTCAGTCGTATTTCCGGTTGGGATTAACTCACTTCGAGCTCACAGTTGGACAAGAAATGGAAATATATTGATAAAAGATACAGATTTGAAGATACAGGCTTGCAAATAACACTCTTAGTAGTGTTTTTAATGGGGATTCTATATTTTTGTTCAGACAATTGCATAATTTGATACAATATGATTGTGTTTGACTTTCAAAGGCCCATAAATCGCTACAATGTTGATAATGACTAAAACTATAGGGAAGAATTAGTTAAATCTAATTTATTTCTGAATGGAATGGTGGTATTTCTGTCTTCATAGCATGCACAGAACCGAAGATATGAAATTTCTCGCCATCGAATCTCCCAGCATCGATGAGACTGGGACGTGATTAGAAAGAGTTAAGTTATCAAATTTGAAACGTTCTTTATATTTGTTATACTTTTAAATTATACCGCCAAATGTATTTGTGTAATTTCCCTATCACCTGACATATAGAGTGCACCAGAAATCAAATACTTTAGGAATACAATTTCATCCCGGGGGTGGGGGAATTTTGCCCAGGAATTTTCTCCTGAGGGAGTGGCATTTGACATTTTTTTTTTTTTAAAATGTCAAATCCCCACCCCTTGCCCGACCCCCCCCCCCCACCCTCGGGGTTAACATTGATAGGTGCATTAATTTCATATACCTTATGTTTATAGCTGTCCTTATTTTGTTCACTTCCTCCATGTTTTCAATTGAGACCTTCAGTCCTTCTGTTTCAATTCCAATCTGCGAAAATTCTTTCTCCAGACGTTCTTCTATTCGTCCAGATTCATAATCTGCTAAAACTTCCAAAAATCTCTTATCCGTAAGACAATGCAGTATAACGTGTAGGGATCCCGATTCGGGCCCAATAAATTCTTGGTCATCTCTATCTTCGGATTCTTCAAAGCCTTTTTTAGTGGCGTCAGTAATTAGGTATTTGTAAGTTTTATAACAAAACAAAGAACCAAGTGTGAGCGCCCCAACGCCGAGGCATGCCTTCCCACCAACTTTCAATAATTTTTCTGCCAGATGTATATTGTCAGTGGTTATGACGAATGAAATGTAACCACCAAAAGGAGATAAATTCCATTTTAAACTACCACTCACGGCACCCTTTAGTACATCCTTCACCGCTTGTCCAACTTCGCTTGACTCAGCCATTTATACGAAACTTGCCCTGAAATTAAAACATAGTCACAGAGGATATACTACACAGAGGTGGAACTCAGCCAAAAAAGTGTAACCGGCCGCCAAAAGCTTAGCCAGTGCGCTAAAGAGAGGCATTCACCCCCCCCCGAACTCAAATTTCAAGATGGCGCCAGAATGTTTCAGAAAATAATCGGCACGAGAAACACTTGTTATTTTGCTCATAACAGTTTTCCTTTACTAAAGTTGTTATTAACATGTTTATATAAGATGTGTTGGTATGAGAAACCTTTGAAGATTATCTACCGATTTATATGGCACTGTTATTCATCGTAGGAGTGGAAAATTGAAATTCCGAAATTACCGAGAAATTAATACTCATGTGAGCCATGTCTAAGGGGCCGTCGACAAATAGATTTCGTCCCGCATCGCGGACTTGGGCCGCGATTGTTTGAACCCCCTCCCCCCTACCTCATCGCGGACAAGTAAAAACCCCAAAGAGAATCGAAATTATGGTCCAAAATATTATCCGAAATGGCTTATTGCATTTTTAATCCACACACCCCCTATGGAGAACAACCATTTTTTGGACCCCCTCCCCTGGAATTCCGCAGATGTTGATGAATTTCCATCCTACCCCCTGGAATTCCGCGATTTTTTACAAATTTCCAGCCTACCCCATGGAATTTCCACAGATTTTTAATGAATTTCTACTCATCCCTTGGAAATTCCACCGATGGTTTTGACCTAGTCTCTGGAATTTCCACATTTTTTGTTTAATAGGTAACCATCCCTTGGAATTTCCATGATGTTTTTTTAACCTACCCCGTGGAATTTCCACAGATTTTCTTCAAAATTTAGACCCTCCCTTGGAAATTCCTTCTTTTTTTGTTGAATTTTAGGAAGGGGGCCTGGAAATTCCAGTATCCTCCATAGGGGGGTTGTGGTTTAAAAATGCAATAAGCCAATATGACTGAGCGGTCTACTATAGGCAAGAATACAGTATGTAATGCTGACTTTTAACATTACAATCAGCTTGTAATAAATAAAAACTAGTTTCCGTATCGTTTAGCAGTTGTAAGCAACATAAAATTTAAATAAATACCCGATTTGTTGTTCACAAATGCAATATTTATATCCCCGATTGAACGAAAGAAAGGTTGTGTCGAACTGCGAACTTAATAGTCACAAAAGTCGGTAATCGTTGAAAAGTCGGCCGCGATCAGTTATTCCAGCGGCAACACATATCAAATCGGAATTAACCGTAATGGGTTCGGGCATAGGTTATATACTTCGAAATGTAAATATCAAACGAAGTCTCTGAAACGAAGTATTGTTGTTGAGCTGTGTCCGCTTTTTGCCTCCGAACTTTTTGTGAGTACATTATTTAAAATGTACTACATTTTCTTCTGATCTTCGTATTATATTTCTAAAGTCAGTTTTCTTCCCAAATATTTTGTAATCGCGGATTCTAATCTAAACCCTCCCCCCCATCGCGGCCCAAGTCCGCGATGCGGGACGAAATCTATTTGTCGACGGTCGCTAAAGGATTTAGAAGAAATGTAAATGGTATAATAACTTATGTGCAGCTGGATATCGTTGTATTTAATATTTTGTGAAATACTTAGGCAGAAATCAGTCAAGATTTCACTATTTGAAACTATAGCAGTATGGCACCCTGTTTATAATAGTGATAAAAAGCATAAAATGTGAGGGATGTTGGTTTTTTACATTTTAAACACGCTATATTAAAAAAAATATGATGTACATAATTCATATTTCACATCGTTCAGGTTGCTGTTCTTTAAATGAATTTTGATTAGAGTTTCTGAATGAGATGCTGAAACAATGCGAAAGTTGGGTATTCTTTACTTTCATGTGTTGTGATGCAACATCTCGGCACATGGTGGTCAACTCTAAAAGGAAACACAGTTACCGGTGTGAGTAAATTTTTATGATATGTCTTGACCTCATGTTTGCTGGCGAATACATGCAATTTAGCCTCATTTGCTCGCTCCCCAAGTCATTAGTGTTGATACATGTAATGTTGACCACCATGTATAACCCTATGTATAACACCTTGATGTTACCATAGTTAATGGAGGAGATGGTTTGGAAACTCGTTAGCATTACAATAAAATCACAATAAACCTCATTATCTATGTTGTTCAGGTTTATGCAAAAAATGTGGTCTTTCATCGTCACGTGCGTATTGTATTTTTCTCAAGTCAACCAATAGGAATGTTCAAAATGTCCTATTGTTAAAGTCATGGATGGGCAATTGGACAAAACCGTTGCTATTGGCTGGTTGAGCAAAAATACAATACGCACGTGATGATGAAAGACCACATTTTGCATAAACCTGAACAAAAACATAGATAATGAGGTTTATTGTAATGCTAATGAGTTTCCAAACCATCTCCTCAATTAACTATGATGTTACCAATTGTTTACATCAGAAGGTTACATATGTGCAGAACAGACTTACCGTCTGTTCATCTCTAACCCATTGAGTCGCATTGTGCACTGATGCGCCCTACTTTATTATTTTACTCTGTCTAACACCAGATTATTTTACTCTGTCTAATGCTATACAATTTTACTCATCAAGGGGAAACCTCTGGCACTTAGTGGGTTAACTGGCCTATCTGCCCATGATGTGTCTAGTTAACCCATGGAGTCACATTGCACCCTACTGTATTATTTTCTGTCTAATGCCAGATGATTTTAGTTGTCAAGGAGAGAGTTCTGGGTTAATATTTAAGTAGAATTAGCCTCTTCCACAGGCAACTCTGTATTGTTTTGTATAATAGGCAACTCTGTATTGTTTTGTAATAATACAAAATGCATTTACAATACAAAACAAATAAGAGTTGAAAATCTGTTATACAAAACAATACAGAGTTTCAGGCAGAAATAGAATATGGAGGCAAAAATAGAATATGATTTATAACAGCAGATAACATTGAATTGTAGAAATCGAAGAAAAATATAACATTCAAACAATTGATGTAAACAGTGTATTTTTCAGTCTTCAATATATCCACATTTATCAAATGTTCATATTTTACCATTATTCGTCTGACACTCCGGGGCTTAACACTGATACATGTAGGATAATGTATGCTGAAAAAACTGGAGGTAAACAGTTGGGGGCTGGAAAAATTCTTCAGGAGGGCCTTTACATGCAGCTGATGTAGAATCCAATGGCTTATTATTACCTACGTTACAGGAAACAAAAACCTGAATCTATAGATTCACCTCTGACACTCTGGCCTATAGCCTCACTTCTACCTCCAGGGGAAGTGAAATTGTCACTCGCACATTATTAGTTCCTTCTATGGTGCATATGGCTCAAGAATTTTAACAGTGTCAGTGAAAATGTCCAATGTTTATTCAACCATTAATTCGCCCTCAACCCATGCATGTACAGGCTGAAGTTATCTGGTAT